CGATGCACTTGGTAGGAGCTCGGTTGGTGAACTGCTGCTGCTCCGAGATATGCAGCAATATAAAGGACGTGGCATCGTGATGCGTCGTTGTGCAACAAGCACTCTGGACAATCTGGTGACGCCTTGATTTCTTACCGAGGTCCAATAGGGTCCTATTGTTATTGTCATGGCTTCACGTTTCAGCAGCATCACGAGCCTTCACACTGCGATTCGAAACGAACTACTTGAGTGCTTGGTGTAGGACCCAGGGGCGTGTGCGCCAACGCACAAGGCCAAAGTGCGCCGCGTAGTTTCCATTCGCTATGTGAGCACCGGTAAAGGCTGTTTCCATCCTCTGGACCGTGCAAACAAATTTTGAAATGACCCAAGTCTCGCGAGTAATTCACTTTTGTCAAGAGTCCTGTAAGCTGCAGGCTGCCACAACTGACTGATCGATGCCAAGGGTCAAACTTGTCGATGCGATTGTCAAAATCATTTTATTCTTTTTCCGCCTACCACGAGCCATGTGCCTTGATGTTTGTATGCAAATTAAAAAATAGCGAGCATCCGTCCCAGCATTTCATTGGCTCGCGAATTGATGGCCCATCATCTTGACGATGGCGACGCTGCAGCTCGACGCACGGTACCTTGCGCCTGGGTCGGCCGCTGCCTTTGTGTCCAAGGGCCTCGACGTCATTCATCTCAAGTACGCTGCTCGACGAAGATGGCGAAATGACCGTGCTTACCTGTAGTCCCGGCGGTGACTCGTGGCACCTGGACCGCTCGACGTTGGCGCCGCTCCTCACGGACGCAGTCGAGTTCCAGGCGCTGGATGCCATGGCAGACGACCAGCCAACGACAATCGAGTACGAAAATGAGACGCTACGGATTCACACAAGCTTGCTATGTGGCGTACGAGTCAACCAAGTCCACCTCGGTTTGCCCGCAGCTCGTGCTTGATCGCGTGCTCCTACGACATTCTTAGACCCGCAGACGGCGTGTGTGTTGCGCCACGGAGACCGGATTGCGTTTCTCAAGACAGCTTGTGGCGGCGACCTCGTCGTGTAGGGCCAAGACTTCATGTCGTTGTTGACACCGTGCATAGGTACCGCGTGGCGATCGCTGACGGCGATGCCGTCTCTGATGCGATGCTACTGAGCGCACTGGCTACTGCACCTGGAAAGACCCAGCGCAAAGACGTGGATACGATGACCGAGCAAGTAGCGTCGGCCGAGAGCTCGTCGCGTGTGGCCAAGCGGCCACGACTGTCGTCGTTCTCTGCAGCGGATGGCGGGGTGCGCTTTGAATTGCATCTTGTAAGCGACTCGTTGGCACCGTCGTCGGCCGCGGCCTTGACGCACCACCGTCTCGACATTTTGCGTCTCGGGTTCGATTCCTGTCTGCCGACTGTTTGTTTTTCATATTGCAGAATGCTAGGCCGCACAATCGGCTCATGTCGTTTGGCCAATCGCTCGTTGCCAAGCTGCTATCAGACCCAATGGAACTGCAAGCGCTGCACGACCTGGACGACGATCACTGCCTCTTTTTGAGCGACCGCCATGGTATCCTTCGCATCATGGACACGAGTCGCGTCGGGATCCGCGTCAACGCCGAGCGGCTCGGTACGCGCTCCTTCCTTCTTGCACTCGCTTCATCTTTGCATGTCTAGAGCCGTATACGCCCCGGCTTCTCGATGTTGGTGACACGGTCGTACTTCTCAAGAACGTGCGGGGCGGCAACCTCCTCTCGTACGAACGAATGGGACTAGTTTGTATGGCAATGAAATGCATAGATACACTGTCAGGGCCGCTGTACCGTCAACCTGTCGTAGTAGCGCGACATGTCAGCGCAGCACGACGCCAGCGCCGGTCGCATCGCCCGGTTTCGAGCACTCAGTCGTGTCGCTGCCGCCCCAGAGGCAACAGCTCTGCATCGTCGACGACTGCGAAAAGCAGCTTAGGGCACAAGGCCGCTGCGAGACGGATCGAAACGAGCGGCTTCGATCTCACATCGCGGGATGTGACGTCAACGGAGTAGACACCCGTGGCGCCGATCGCAGTGTCACCGAGACCGCCACGTCGCAGCGCACTTTGGCGGAAACGACAAGCATTGTCGACCCCCGCGTGCAGGCAGGTGACTCTGTGCAACTGCATCACCCACCACCCATGGTGTTTTTCATTCCCTTTCCGATGCCCAACGCGTGTGTGCCGGTTCCGCAGAGCGAGTCCAAGACGACGCCGCCGCCGGCAGCCCCGTCCAAGGTAAAAGCCAAAGCCAAGAAGAAATCAACGACGCCAGGTCCGAAAAGGAATCTCCGTCCGTGCCCGCACTGCGGCTACAAGAACCGTCGCCATGACACCCCGAGCTCGTCGTCGTGCGCCCTCTTCCAGTTCTACAAGAGAGGCAACTTCTCCAACAGCTCGGGTGTGCTGGCCTATGACCGAGCGATTACCGCGTTCGCCAAACTCCGCAATACGACTGCCAGACAGGATCAAATTGAATACAGGGTGTAACATACTAGTCCATATATGCGTCACTAACGTACTGTACCCCGAACACAACTCCAGCTTACGTCCTTGCATAGATGACAGAAAGTGCATGCCCCGTCGGTCTTCACACCGTAATTGCTGCATATCAATGGCCTTTCCAAGTATGGT